GATAGATAGATAGATAGATAGATAGATAGATAGATAGATAGATAGATAGATAGATAGATAGATAGATAGATAGAATTTATATGCTGTCTTTTTCCTCATATGGGCCCCAAGGCAGCTCACCACACCTGAAATTAGGAAACAAACAACAGTTTTAAAATACTATATAAACATCTTTAAAACAATTAAAAATCACATTAAAAACAAACATATGTTAAGATTAAAAATCAAGATTTAAAACAATTTTAAAATATTTAAAATCATATACGTTAATAAAGAAGCATTCATGAGACACATACTGCTTAAGAGCCGGACAGAAGATGAAGGTTTCTGCTGGACAGTGGAAGGACAAGAGAGAGGGAGCCAGTCTGACTTCGTTGGTCAGTGCCTTCCAAAGCCTGGGAGCAGCGGCCAAGAAGACCCTCTTTAGTGTCCTCAACAGATGAGGTTGGGAAGGGGGGTGGAACTGAAAGAAGAGTCTCCTCAGGAGATCTTCAAAGCTATGAAGGCTCATATCGGGTGATACGATCCTTCAAATAGCTTTGCCTGTTTCCTCTAACATTGACCATTTTCTCTCCTATCCTTTGGATATGAATGCTGCTGAATTCTGGCAGCGGGTTCAGTCTGAATGCAGGGCAGGTTGGATATGAAACCCTAGAAAAAAGATCCATGGGGCTTTTCTTGAAATGGGCTTAGAGCGGCTAAACTATCTCAGTCGTGTTTTGACAGATTCTATTTAATTTTTAATCAGTGACGATTAAATAGTTTAATGACAGGGAGATCATCTTGAATTGTCTGAGCCTATTTCTTTTGCTTCTTTTAGCCATGGCAACAAGATGGCTGCAGCTCTGGACTTGGCTGACACTCCTATGTGGTGAGTTTGTCCTTCACGGGCATAGAGTAGCCCTTGTTATAAATGCCGTTTCTTTCAGTATCTTTCAGCTACCAATTTTGCTTTTAATTCTCTTGTGGACCATCCATAAATTGTCGTAATTCTTGCCCTCATCCATTGAGAGTTGGAGACAACGCAACTGAAAGACTTGATGAGGGACATGCTAAGATGATCAATGACAGTCTCTTCATGAGAAACACCACCACGGATAGCTCAGTGGTTTAGTTATGTGGCTGTGGAGCCAGAGGTTGGGAGTTTGATTCCTCCTTCCTGCATGTAGAGGCAGCCTGTGTAGCCTTGGGCAAGCTGCACAGTCCCAGGGTACCCCAGAAGAAAAGAATGGCAAACCACTTCTGTATAATCTATCTAGAAAACCCTGGGAAGAGTTGTCATGTCAGAATTACTTCTGTGTAATCTATCTAGAAAACCCTGGGAAGAGTTGTCATGTCAGAATTATTGTTGTTGTTGTTGTTGTTGTTGTTGTTGTTGTTGTTGTTGTTGAGCACTGCGCAACTGGCTATCCTGTGTGTTATAGGCTGCTTTGTCACAAGTTTATCCTTTGCAAAAAATAAATAAATAAGGAGACACGAAAACAATGGCAATTCTGTCGTCCATGAATGAGTCTTCTTAATAAGTGTTAAATTCTGATTTTTGGGGGCCCCATAACAAGACCATCAATCCTCTGCACACTTCCCCCATCAAAATTATCTGAATTCAGTGCCAAAATGCATGTTCAGAAAGCATGGCCTTCCTTTTCTTATACCATTATCTCCTCATTAACACAATCTCTTCTATCATGCATGTCTGTGGAGTTAGGGATGTAAAAGAGGCCATTGGTAAGATTCTGGAGATAATTCTGAGGCAGGCATGCTTCTTCTTTTAATAAGTTTCCACAACTACTCCTTTTCTGACACTGGAGAGAGTGTTCCTTCAATATACAAACTTCTCATGTTGTCTAGAGCAGTGGTCCCCAACCTTGGGCCTCCAGATGTTCCTGGACTTCAACTCCCAGAAATCCTGGCCAGCAGAGGTGGTGGTGAAGGCTTCTGGGAGTTGTAGTCCAAGAACATCTTGGAGGCCAAAGGTTGGGACCACTGGTCTAAAGTAATGTTCTTGGAATTCTCAGAATCATATGGAACAAATGAAATGAGCCAAACTCAGAAAGGGAAAAAAGAATTTTAAAACTTTAAAACAGTTCTTAGAGTAGAAATCAAGAGCAAGAAATGTGTGACCATTATTTTTTCCCCTACTATAATAATACTGTATGCATGTGGATTGCTACCTCTACAAACTCTAATTTTAAAAAAAGTCCAACAATTAAAACTGATTGTTGAATAAAAGTTCTGTTTGCCGAGAAATGTGATGCAATAAGCCACAGTGAATTGTGATGCTAAACCTCAGTGCTGAATGAAGAGGACATATGGGTGGGAAGGGCAAATGTGTGCTGGCCCAATTGGCCACAAGGTGAACATTTAGGAGAATTCAAGGGCCGTGCACCAATCCATACAAAATAACTGCAGTCAGTTAAGATATGTCCACTCAACATTTCAGAATCCCAACAGGGCCTCAAGTCACCAAGTTAATACTCCATGACTGGGGTAACTGAACTTTTCATTGACAGCACCGTATCTCCTTGTGTTGAGTTCGACAACTAAGGTGGCTCTGGGACACCAACACCCACAATAGCAATGTGGAAGGTAGTCCCATACCACTGTGTTTGCTTCCTTCCTATGGCAAATAAGCATATAATGGCCAAAATCCCACCACTTAGTATAGTAATTCACAGCAAAGTAGGTTCACTGTATCAATAGTGATTTGGTGAGTCAGTTTCTCCATAAGTTCTGTTTACTCAATCTACTCAGACTGAGACTTACTATACTAAGCTAAGTCACAGAGTAAGTTCATTTGGATCAATGGAACTTACAGATGAGATAACTCACCATATCCCCATTGATTCAATAGACCTTCTGTAGTCTGCCTTACTATACTAAGCAACTGGATTTTGGCCAGTCACCATATCCCCATTAATTCAGTGAACCTTCTGTAGTGTGCCTTACTATGCTAAGCAACTGGATTTTGGCCAAAGTGTGGAAAACACAGCTGAGTATCTTTAAGCACTGTGGAGACCAAACAGTGTAGAAAACAGCGGAGTATCTTTAAGCACTGTGGAGACCAAACACTTCCACCTTTTTCTCACAGGCAAAGTGCTTCTGTTCTCTAATCATGTTAGCTGCCATTTCTGTCTAGTTTTAAATTGTTTTTGAGAGGAGGCGATCAAAATACCATATAAAATTCCAATTGTCATCTAAATGTTACCATAGATTTGTATAACCTATAATAGAATTCTTGATTTCAAAGGAAATGAAAGCAGAGTGTAGCCACACACTGCTGGATTTTTAAAAAGCCAATTTTAATAATCTCAGAACAAGGATAAGTAAAGTCTCATGGGAGAAGATCCTAACAAGAAAAGGAGTCCAAGAAGGGTGGGAGCTTCTAAAAAAAGAAATTCTAAAGGCACAACTACAAACAATTCCAAAAAGAAAAGGGGGAGGTGGCAAAAAAAGGCCAGTAAAAAAAAAGCTCAGGGAGGACCTAAAAACCAAAAAAGATACGTACAGGAAGTGGAAAGAAGGCCAGGCCACCAAAGATGAGTACAGACAAGTAGCAAGGAAATGCAGGGATGACATGATAGCATTTTTGCAAATATTTGAAAGGTTGTCATACAGAGGAGGGGCAGGATCTGTTCTCCATCATCCCAGAGTGCAGGACACACAACAATGGACTCAAGTTACAGGAAGCCAGATTTCAGTTGAATAGCAGGAAAAACTTCCTAACTGTTAGAGCAGTACGACAGTGGAACCAGTTACCTCGGGAGTTGGTGAGTGTTCCAACACTGGAGGCATTCAAGAAAAACTTAGATAATTCCCTGGCAAATATGCTTTGATTGTATTCCTACATTGACCAGGGGGTTGGACTTGATGGCCTTGTAGGCCCCTTCCAACTTCACTTTTCTATGATTCAATGTTTTCTATGATAACCCCTTTCTTTCTTTCTTTCTTTCTTTCTTTCTTTCTTTCTTTCTTTCTTTCTTTCTTTCTTTCTTTCTTTCTTTCTTTCTTTCTTTCTTTCTTTCTTTCAGGTGCTTATGGAACCGGTTCCTGTGGGAGGGAATTTATCACAACCTTCATGCAGAACTACTTCACATCTCCAACTAAATTTCAGCTGCTGATCACTGGATATCACCCTGCAACCACTGTCACTGTGACGGTGAAGAAGTCTCTGTTCCAGAAAACGGTCTCTGTCAATACAGGAGAAACTGTGTCCGTCGTTCTCCCAGACTCCACAGAGATGGTTGGAGGAAGCATCTGTAATGGGACTGTGCTGATTCAAGCGGACAAAAATATCTCGGTCTTCTCTCATAGCCACAGGGACTACACCAGCGGAGCCACCATAGTGTACCCAGTCGAGCAGCTTGGCACACAGTATTACGTGGTAACTCCAATAGGTGCACTAGCAAACACTTTCAAGGAATTTGCCGTTGTGGCCTACAGGTTTCCCGCCAGGATTGATATTCTCTTAAAAGGGACTGTAGTATTCCAAGGGAGGGTGTACCCAGCAGGAAGCAGGCTTGTGGTTGACCTTCATGCCTTCCAAACAATCCAGGTGCAGAGCTCATCGGATTTATCCGGCACTAAGGTTGTGTCAAATGCCTCCGTGGCTGTCTTGAGTGGTCATAGCTGTGCAGTCAAGCACACCAGCTGTGATCATGTTGTTGAGCAGCTCCTGCCTGTTTCCAGCTGGGGAACCACCTTCATTGTTCCTCCACTTTCTTTCCAACCTCGAGATGACATTGCATATATCACTGCCTCCCAAGACACGTGCATCAAATACCAGTCTGGGAACAGACACGGCTCTTACAATGTGGTGGCCGGGCAAGTTATCATGGTGGAAGTGCAGCCTTCACAGCCGTTATACTTCTCTGCCAATGCTGGGATCCAAGTCGTTTTCTTCTTCACTGGTGCCACAGTTGGAAGCCAGTCCTATGACCCTTTCATCATCAATATCCCATCTATATCCAGCTATCACACCTCTTATCACATTAGGGGAATGGCACACTATTATAATTATGCTGTCCTCATAGCCAAAACATCAGAATCCAATGGGCTCACTTTAGAGAACAAACCCATTGGAAACATCCAGTGGAAACCCATACCAGGTACAGAATATTCATGGGGTGAATATAAATTGGACAGCAAAGATACCAACCTTTCCCTACAGCACCCAAACGCTCCTTTTGGGCTCTACATCCTTGGATTTTTGAATTATGATGGCTATGGCTTTGTGGCCCCGTGTTCCTGCGGTAAGTATCTATCTTTCAATTTGTGCATTTAGACTTTCAGTGTACAGATCATATTACTGTTCTTGTGTGTCATAAATTCAGAACTAACCCTAATTGTCCGTTCACTTCCTTTTTTTTTTATTTGATCAATCTTTTAGCAATAACCACAAAGCTAGCTCAGGACATTTTGCTGCCCGAGACAACAGACAAAGAAGTTCCATCCCCACTCCAGAAGCACAGGAGCAAAGATGCATTGATCCTTAATGCCCATTTGAACAGGGGCAGTGAGGCACATGCGGCCTAGAGAGTAAACGCTACACTACATGAGGCATGAAAGTGTGTCTCAAACCATAAGATTTTCCTCCAGATATATTATTCCTTCAGAGAAGAAGCAATCAGCTTGCCTGATGAAGCCCATTCTTATGCCATAACAAAACAGACATAAGAACACTCTTAATGAACAGAATAAACTTACCCCCTTCTCTATCTTAAGGGAGCTTCCCTTCTAATGTCAGATTAACTCTAGTGCAGTGGTTCTTAACCTTTGTTACTCGGATGTTTTTGAACTGCAACTCCCAGAAACCCCAGCCAGCACAGTTGGTGGTGAAGGCTTCTGGGAGTTGCAGTCCAAAACTCCTGAGTAAACCAAGGTTAAGAACCAGCGCTCTAGTGTGTGGTTTGACCATCTGTTTTCCAACATGGTGTTGTTGTTCCCAACAGTCTCTGTGCATGCGCGCACACACACACACACACAGAACCAGCGCTCTAGTGTGTGGTTTGACCATCTGTTTTCCAACATGGTGTTGCTGTTCCCAACAGTCTCTGTGCATGCACACACACACACACACACACACACACACACATGTTTGTGTGCGTGCACAAACAGAGCCTTGCTCTTCCTAACAAAGAGCCTCGTGGCGCAATGGTTAAAACGCTGTACTGCAGCTAAAACTGTGCTCACGACCTGGGGTTCAAATCCCAGGTAGCCGGCTCAAGGTTGACTCAGCCTTCCATCCTTCCGAGGTCGGTAAAATGAGTACCCAGCTTGCTGGGGGGGCAATGTGTAGCCTGTATAATTAAAATTGTAAACCGCCTGGAGAGTGCTTGTAGTGCTATGGGGCGGTATATAAGTCCAATAAATAAATAAAAATAAATAAATAAATAACAACAACCCTCAACAAAAGGTATCATAGGGTCCTTGTAATTGGCGTGAGGCTCTTCTGCTGCCCAGTCCAGAACTTCTCCTAATATGTCAACAAAACATCAACACATTTTCTGAACAGTCTTGCCCATTCTGCCTTTTTTCTCCTCTATAAGGAAAGAAGCATATTTTTCCCCTAGACTTCTTTACCATGCCCTAGTGCTCAGTTCTTATTCCCTTCAGTAAATGAGTGGTTCTTCTCACGTTACTTCGATTTTGATGCCTCATTTCCTTCTCTCTCTCAGCAAATCAAACCATTGATTATAGATGGCCTTAACGTCATGGGTAAATGTATGCGCTGTAACTATTTAGAAATTCAGAGACCTCACTTCTCTCCATGGACATCCCCCTCTGCTTGTTTTTTTAATTATTATTATTATTTATTTATTTTTAACTACTAGGAATAGGGTAGGGAATACAAAAGGCAAAAGGAAGGGGGGGAGGGAAAATATTAGAGGGAAGGGAGAACACAGAGTATACCGTACAATCATCCAATCTATTCATATTTCAATAAAAAAACAAATCAACTTTCTGCTCTCTTTTTTCAACAATTTGATTACCTTCCAGCAATCAACTTACAGTTATGTTTTAGTTTAAATCTAAGTTACTCCAACACTATCAGGAAACCGAGGCCATTTGTAAAATACATCCCATCGTTCAATTTCCTTTTGATTTGGACAATCATTCAGCACGCCTGAAAGAGTATCCATTTCTGTCGCTTCCCATATTTTCTCAGTAAGCTCCTCTTGTTTCCATAGCTCTGCTTCCTTCCAATGTTTGGAAGAGAAGGATGGATCCAGGACAGTAATCCAATTTTTAACATAACATTTTATGACTGTATTAGCTAAATAGCTCACTGGGTAACTTGCTTCTGCTTGTTAATGATTACTCTTGCTTTTACACTGACACTGGGGTTGTCCTGCTCTAGGTAAACCAGCTCCTTCATGCGATGATATCCAGTGCAGGAAGAAAGAGCGGTGTGAGATCCTAGATGAACAACCAGTGTGCGTACCGGAATCTGAATCTTCTTGCTGGGCTCAGGGAGATCCTCATTATCACACTTTTGACGGGAGAAATTTTGATTTCATGGGCACCTGTACCTACACCATTGCCAAAATGTGCAGCCGAAACACAACTCTTCCTTCTTTCAACATCGAAGCCAAGAATGAAAACAGGGGAAATACTCGTGTTTCTTACGTTGGTTCTGTGACCGTCAGTGTCTACAACATCACCATTTCCGTGGTCAGAAATGAAATTGGACTTGTGAGGGTATGTCTAGCCAACAAATATTTTTCCCCGGTATTCATTTCCAAATTTTTATTAAACTACTGTCTGTGTGCTTGTTTAACAACTGTCCTTCTTTCTATTCAGATTACAGATGAGCACAAACTGCAGTTCACTGGTTCAGTCCAGTTTGGCACAGCACCAGCAAAGATGTTCCATGGGCACTGTGCATTCCTCTGTGTGCTGTCCCATTCCCTGGCCAAAGCACACTTCCCTCCCCCACCTCCTCAGGCAGCAGCCCACTCAGATAAGGAGGCAGGGCAGAGAAGCCTGCGGTGCTGCCTTTGAGTGGGCAGCTGCTAGAGGAGGCGGAGAGGGAAGTGCACACTGTAATCAATAAATGAACTACACCAAACTGGGCCAAACTGTGTTTTGTGCCCATCTCTAGTTCAGATGTCGCAATGAGCCCCATTAATGCCACTTTGATGAATGGGGAAGGCTGACAAGTAAAGAAGTTATATCATATGACAAGGGGACCATTAACACTATGGTGTCTACATCATTATTTTCCCAAGATTTTCAAAATGACCCTTAGACTCTCTAGCAGGAAGAGAAATCTTACAGAAGACATTGTAACACCAACAGCATTACCCTCATCACTGGAGAGTGTCTAAAACATTTTTTCTTCCAGAACTCTTCCTGAATAGCTTTATTTGGGTTACACCGGGAAAAACAGAATCTCATTCACAAATTTCACTTTCTTGATAGAAACCACTTTCCCATAAAGATTCTCATAGGTAACTCTCTCCGTGCTAGTGAAAACAGTTAAACAGAACTTGGTGGAGTAGGGTGACCTTCAGTTTAAAAATCCTTAGAATAAGAGGCCAGGGTCTGAGAGTGGGTTTTTTTAAAGCATAGTTGGCAGAGATAGTGTAGTTCTTGAGGTTATCTGACTGAATGCTGAGAAAGGTCATACTGTACACAGGATGGCATCCATGAGGGACATGATGGTCCTTTTCCAGTTAAAATATGGAAGGCAAGGGGACACTGGATGCCCATGAGGAAAATCTCTTTCTCTCACACTCTTTCATTCTCTCTCTCCCTCCCTCCCCCCTGTGTGTGTGTGTGAGCACACTTGTGTATTGATTCTGCAAAGAGTCTAATCCTGAAGTGAATTTGGATGAGATTATTGATGTTTCCTGGAGATTTGGCATACCAGTCCATCTTTATTGTTGTGTCTTAGTTGTAGGAATAATATTATCAACGTTCCCACTGTAAATTCTCATTTTTTGCCAAAAAATAGGAAAAAAAATAAACATTCTGATCATGACATCTGGTGAATTCTCATGCAGGTGAATAACCAGCGCTCCCGGCTGCCCATCTCCTTGAATGAAGGAAAGCTCCATCTCTACCAGAGAGCAGGATCTGTTGTGATTGAAACTGACTTCACACTGAGGGTCTCTTATGACTGGAACAGCTACTTGGTGGTGAAGATCTCCAGCAGCTTTTCAGAGAGCATCTGTGGCCTTTGCGGGAACTACAACGGAGATCCTAAAGACGACTTCACTACCCCTGAAGGGTCTTTAGCCTCCAGCCCTGTGGAGTTCGGGCGAAGCTGGAAGGTGGAGGACGGCGACCGGTTTTGCTGGGATGACTGCCATGGAGAATGCAAAACATGCTCCCCAGAGATGGCTAGCAAATATGAAGCGGAGCCGTTCTGTGGTTGGATCAGCAAAGGGGGGAATGGCCCCTTCAGCCAGTGCCATTCTGTGGTCAGTCCAGAGATCTTTCTGCAGAACTGCGTCTATGACCTCTGTTTAAACGATGGCCGCCAGGATGTGCTGTGCGAGGCACTTGAGAGCTATGCACAAACCTGCCAGAGAGAGGGAGTTGCTATCTCTGACTGGAGGACCTCCGCCAATTGCCGTGAGTGTTCCTTGATGCAGAACAAATTATATTTTCCATTTTTATTTAAAATGTAAATCCCAGACTCCATGAGATGCATATGGTCTAGCCTGGGGACCTAATCTTCAGGTGCAACCACATGGTCTTTCACCCTGAACAATGGATAAAAGTAGGTCTGTGAGATACTAGTAGCTTTTCTTGTTAAGCAAAATTCTTTTCCTCATTCTTCCTGTGAAAATGAATGTAAGAGGAACCAGGATGACAGAAAACCGCAGAGATCTGAGCCCTGCATCTGCAATGTGAGGACAATATTGAAATGCCTTAATGAGTTTTTATCTGTAAACTCTGCTCTGAGACATTGTGCTAATCAATGGGTACTCTTGAGCCATGCTGTTTTGGCTCAAGATAGTGTACCATATGGCCTCATTGGCCAACTAAGAAAAGGGAAGGGACTCTTAGGCAGCTAAGATAATCCACAACTGTATCGAAGCTGGGTTGCTCCCCAGCCCATCTCAACAGGAGTAGATATGAGACTACCTGGGAAGATATTAAAAGATTACGTGATATTGATAACCAGACAACCATGACATCTGTAGTTAATTGCTGCTCAGATAGGACATACAAAGGCTTTTCCTTGCGTTTTCCAAAGCTTCCCCCATATTTGTCCCTTATTAGCTCACATGAGCTGAGACAACTGCTGACTAAATGCAAACTGAACTAGCTACCGTTGAAAGAGGTTCAGAGATGTTACATGGACCAGTACAGTACAGGTTGGCATTGCCCAGCAGAATGCTCTGAAACAGAGGACATGGTACATTTTCAAATAGAATGCCCTCTGTGGGCAGATCTGAGGAACCAACATCTTAAACCCTTAACAACCAAGATCGAGAACATTTCCCCTTTATGAACAGTTTTATTCCTGCTAGCTGGCATGGACCACTACATATATTCTACAGGATCACTAAATTCATTAAATGACTCATGGAAAGATGGAATCTATTGCCTGCTTCACAAGTTCTTCACATTAATCTCACATCTTGATACTTGCTTGTTTTATTATTTTATTACTATTATTTTATGTTTTTATGCTTGTTTCTATATACTTACACTAGATGCCAAACACTTTTTAAAAGACTGATTTAACTTATGCTCTTCCATACAGTCTGATCTGCTATAAAGCAATAAAGTATTTCAATTTGGATCAGTAAACTCTATACGAAGCATGTCAAACCCTAAAACCTTTTTTTGCTTTCTGCCTTTCTCCTCCTCCCATGCCAATAAGGAAACTTGATTTCTAAAACAGGCAATATGCGTTGGAGGGAAGAGAGATCATTGAGGGACTGCCTCCTATCCTGAATGGAAAATTCCAGGCAAATGACACCAGGGGTGAGGCATTTAAAAGCACCCACCCTCAAACTGCTTGAAACCAGCTCTCCACTCACGTTAAGCAACATGCCTGGTGGATCGATGCCATAACCATTTTGGGGACTTTCATAATTTTTCTACTGTATGCCTGAGGAAGTGAATTTTAAGCATGAAAGCTTGTGTTGAGTGATTTTTAGTGGTCTAAATAAAAGTATCACCTCTTCTACACCTAGATTGTGTAAATGACCACATGGCTATCTCAGTTTTTCGAAGCCCTAAAATGTGTGCCATGAATCAGGACCAAAGAAGCATCAAATCACATCAGCTATACCAATATGGGAAGAGATAAGAAGTCTTGAGCATGGTAGAGTAAAACACTGGGGTCCATGAAGAGGAACACTTTTTTTTTCATCTCCATATATTAGCATAAAAGGATCTAAAGTATGTATTTAGGAAGGCCTGCATCTATCTGTAGTACACCCATCTTTGGAGCAGCTAAGGGAAGTTTTCCACTTTATACATGCGATGCTCTTGTAGGGTAGGGTAGACTTCCCAACGTTTCAGCCAAAATGCTACACAAGCCACTCTAGCAAAATGTGGCTTGCTTAGTATAAGGAGTTCATGTTCATCTTCCATGCTTCACACTTATTTTTTTCTCTGACAGCTCTATCTTGCCCTGAGAACAGCCAGTATAAGCCTTGCACAGCGCCGTGTCCTGCCACTTGCAACAACCCAGCGGGTCCCAAGAACTGCTCCTCCTTGCCATGCGCACCAGGTTGCGAGTGCAATGAAGGCTTTGTGCTAGACGCTGGGAAGTGCATCCCCAAGGCTGCCTGTGGGTGTGTCTTTGAAGGGAAGCTCTTTGCCCTCGGGGAGCAGTTCTGGAAAGATGGCACGTGCACAAGACGCTGCCTCTGTGACCCGGAGACCAAAGGCGTGACCTGCCAGGCCGCCAGCTGCAAGAGCGGGGAACAGTGCAGGGTGGAAGATGGCATCCTGGACTGCTATCCCACAGGTTACGCCACCTGCTCGGCTTCAGGTGACCCCCACTACATTACCTTTGATGGCCAGAGATTTGACTTCCAAGGAACCTGCATATACCAATTCACTGGGCTGTGCCAGAACAGAACAGACCTGGTGGATTTCCAGATTCTGGTCCAAAATGACCACCGAGGCAGCCAGGCCGTGTCCTTTACCCGGACTGTGGAGATCCATGTGTATGGGACAGTAATTGTCATTAGCCGAGAAAACCCTGGAAAAGTCATGGTGAGTTTATCAGATACC